CGACGGGGACTGGGCTGCAGGGGGACGAGGAAAGAAAAAAGGCAAGGAGGGGGAGGGGTCGCTGGGCTGAGGGCTGGAGGCCGATGTTTGTCACCCGCAGAGAAAAAATTGCGGACCGACGACCACCCTGAGTCACTGAGCCATTCGTCCCTGTGGTTGGCTGGGAGGCAGTGTGGGGCCTTACCGAGACTCACCGAGTGGAGGGGTAATTGTTCTCGGTGAGTTGCATATGGAGGGGCAATCCCACTGGGATCTCGGTGAGAGCTCACCTCTACCATTTCACACAAAACTCATCATCAGTCCATGAATCTCTCACATACAATGACGAAGAATGAGTGCCTCTAATGGCTATATATACTAAATTTCTATCGTTTTCATCCTGTCTCACACTAGACATCGTAGGTTGCGTTGACCGTGATTATTGGAGGAGAAAAATCATTCGCGTTGTTCACCGCGTAAGCTCTCTGTTGATAAAACTATTTATACATACTGCTGATGAAGTTGGTAATACATGTACTAATTGAGCCTTATGAAACCGTCCTTCTCGACTCATAATCATCACCCATAATAACAGGGTAGATATATTCATCCAACACGTTCCTCTCAAGTCAATTCCTGCAGGAGTTCACATGCAATCTGAGTACACGTCAAATTCTAACGGCTTGCATGAATTATTCCTTACGTGGATATAATCTAAAACGAGTACTCCTCGACGAAAAGATGAATTCCCTGTGCACCCGTCCCCTTGTGAACCGCCCTATCATCCGATAGCGAGGCCACGCAATTCCTGACCGAACTCGTCAACGACTGCCCACCACAAACAACGATCGACGTCTCACCGCCCGCAGCTTCGACGGGTTCCCGAATCAGAGCCTCCAGATCAGGACGAGAGTAGTACTCCTTCACCATGCTCATCACCGACCCGCTCCGGATCCTGGGTGTAAGCGGCATCTCATCGCCCTTTTCCAAGTCCAGCCCCTTTTCCTGGCAACACCCTCCACCGCCACCACCATCCACGGAGTCATCCGAGACGATCCTCCTGTGTTTCGCAGACGAACTAGAACTAGAACTAGAGCTCCCCTCTCGATCTGAGTAGAGAACTGTCGTCGCCTCGCCTTCCTTGGCTTTGCCCGACCGCGTAATGGCGATGTGCACCTGCAGCTCGATGCCGTTCTGCTGAGCCCTTTCCATCGACTCCCGCAGCCGCTGCATATAGAATTCGATCTCTTCGCCCTGGCACGCCATGAGGATAAACTCAATCCTCGCAATACATGTCTTTCTGCGGCTCTGAACAATACTCTCCAAAATGGGCAGTGTGAAGGACGTGCCCGTAGAAGCCGAGATGAGAACCATGGTATCGTAAATATCCCACCTCGGCGGTGCACCAAACGGCCCCAACACGAAGCCCGTAAGTGTTTCCTTCTTCCCAGATGCCTGAATTTTCTCCGCATAGTTGTGCACTCGCTTGGAGAAACCGCCGTGCTTCCTGACGACAAGTTGGATACTGTTGCAAGTACACGTCTCCGGCAGCTGGTGCGCGCACGCAATAGTATACGGATGCGCCTCCAACGGCCCAATACGCGGTAGCCAAAGATACAAGTGCTGCCCAGCCTTCCATGAGAAATGAACATCCTTGATCGTCAACACCGTCGTCGACGAGCCCGCCGTCCGGACCTGTATTTCGTGACCCACCCGCTTCATCCCCTTACACGTCGAGCTATTAGGTCGAAGCCTCGTATTCTGCCACGCAAGGAACGCCCAGCGGGCGAGGCGGTCGAAGCAGATGATGGCGACGGAGAACCAGAGGTACTGCTTCGCATAGACCGGGATGTGAACGTAGACCAGCCAGATGAAGAGTACCGCCGATAGGATGTGTTGGAGGAGGAACAGCTCGTACGCCATGCTGCGGAGGGGTCTCATGCCGGTGAGGAACGTCCAGATAAGAATTCCCCAGGCTCCGAGGCCGTACTTGATGACGGGTAGAATTCTCAGCTGCGTCTCGACAAAGTCTGCTCGCACCCATTCCGACCAGAAATGGAAGCCGTGGACGGTTGCCGTCACGAACATTGTTCTGGCGACCCACCGATGAAGCCAGCTTAGTCGTTCATGCGAGGCGCCGATTATGAAGCCTACCACGTTGACCTTCATCGCTAGAAGATAGAGGAGGGGCATCTGCATGACAGTCACCCAGGCGTTGCGGAACCCTATGCGTTCCCAGAAGTAGGCGTCCTTGATGACGGCATCGTTGACCATCATGTAGACGATGACGGCCCAGTAGGCCAGTAGCACAAGTACGCGACCTAGCGACGGTGGTGTCGTCCATCGCAGACCCTTGATGGGGATGTAGAGTTGAGGGTGCCCTGCTTCGCGGACAAGCGCTGTTGATGTAGCCCATACTTGTGTTATGAAATTTGAGGGTTTCGTCGGGAATTGAACGGACTCGGTGCGACATCGTCTGAGTCTGTATGAGGATGTCAGCATTAGAGGGGAAAAGGTAGACGCAGTGGTGAAGATCACCTTCTCCAGCCCTCTAGGTAGTTGATACCACGGATGATGCCCAGAAACCCGACCACGCCTGCGATAATGTACCAGAAAGACTGAGCGAGCTGTACATTTGTCTCCTGGAATAGTGCTGTTCCCATGGCCATTCCCCCTCCCATGCTTCCGCCTCCATGATTATGGCTCATCACGACTGAAGATGATGAGGTTTATAGAGTTGTGCGATAGTCGTAGGCTGCGATGTCCTTCGCTGGAAATTTTGTTTCGTAGTATTGGTAGTCTCTAGCTCCGCCGATGATCATCTATTGAACCCGTTCAAGACCGCTTAGTTCGAGTTGATGAAATGAAGAACTCCGCCGTGAGATGTCGAGAGAAGAGGCCAGCAGCGCGCCGATGTCATGAGATAGCGCAAATTCGTGAAACCATCTCACAAAACCATTTGCATGGGCATGAACTCCCAAAGAACCGCTGTTTTTTTCAATGATCGAAACACAAGAAAATAGATCCTCGCGCCCAACACTTCAGACGCCTCGACTAGACGACGTTTGAAGATTGGTAAATCGGTCGAAGGAATGAGGTGTATTGAGCAAGTTCAAGAGGCAAAGACTCTGGGCAGCGTAAGCAAGACAGCCTACTGGCTAAGAGACGAATACAAGAGATAATAGGGTACACGTAACAATGGGCAGCCGGATCGGCGGCACGAAATGCGCTGGTTTAGAGAGCAGACGTTAGCGCACCACGGTCCAGCATGCATCCGAACAAGTTTGGCATGGTCACGGCATGACAACCTAGGCCATGGGGCAGACGGGATGCTTCAAGCAGAGGATGGCTGACGGATGATCCACCGGGCTGGACTGACGGTCAATGACCCAAGTCGCGGTACGAAATGCCTTGACACGTTCCTCGACGACGGGAGTCTCGGCTGCACTTTCACTTTACACCCTCCTCATCGAGAGTTTTCTCTGTTTGACTCTCTTGGGGGGAATTTCTCTCTGCTTTAGTTTTTCGCGGCATGTTTACTAAGGTCTTATCCATCAGATGGAGAGAGGTGTGGGCTCTTAGGTTTGTTTGATTTTCCGCGGGTCATGACTTACACACACTTCAAACTTTCAAGTCTCAACTCGGGTACCTATCGCTCATGCTCGTCATCCTCTGATCTGTGTCCTCTTCTTCACCCGAGATTGAGAAACAAGCTTGTTTAATCCTCAAAGCATCACAAGGAATCAGTACCAAAGACAATTCCTCAAACCAGCCGAATCTCTCCTACGATCTACCGCCCAGCTTAGAAACATGCTCACGACAGAAGATCCATCCCAAAACCCCCCGTGAACCCCCTCGTGCCCTTCTCCCCAGATATCCCCCCGGCCCCTTGTCGATGAGTGAGCGAGAGAGAGAGAGAGAGTCTGAGTTGACGAACTCTCAAACAGGGGTAGTCCCCCCCAATCCCATCTGCGCAAACGCCACAATTTGCTCAAAACTTCTCAGTGACATTCCCAAACGGCCTCATGATTGGTCACAATCCCAGTCACGCAGCCAGAAAGTCCCTGCGCGCATCGCGGGGCTAGTCTATCTAAGGTTAACTACATCCCTCCCATTCATGGGTCTAACCGTCTAAGCATCAAGCCACCCGTCCCCGCGCGCCGCCGCCTTTTGATATCGCTTGTTGGCATCGCGACGACAGTTCATTGTCACCGTAGAGGCTGGCCGCTGCGAAAAGACACGAGGAAACTGTATAAGCGCCTCGAGGACTTTCAAGAGCCTCATCAGTCATCTCCACTCACTGAACATGAAAGCCAAGACTCGTCCCGACAGTCCCGGCGCGGAGAGTCCACCTAGGTGGGAACCTTTGGTTCTTTCATGCATATAGAGAGGGGAAAACATGCAACCATCCAACGTGGTAAAAAGTGAAGCTTGGAGCTAATCAGTTCGGCAATAACAGCCAAAGTGAGCAAGTTTTATCTTTGCTTCCAAGGCTTCCTCCTGCCACCGGGCCCAATGCCCCCAATAAGTCACCTTCCTCTTTCTTACTGCAGGACTCAACTCAATTCCACCTCGCCTTGTGCCGATTGCCGGATCTAGGCATCCTAGTCCACTGAATCCGAGGTTCTCGTTCACCCTTTCAGGATCTCTCAAGCCCTTTTCCTATGTATCTTACCTCAAGATTCAGAACAGAGGCTCGCTCGCTCTCGTGTAACGGTGAGAGAGATTCGGCAAGACCTTGCGTCTCTCTCCGCCCCATGGATGCCATGTATCTAACGCAACAATTCCTTCCGGCCCAGCTAAGAGATATCCATACTACCCTTGCCAAATAAAACCGAAAGCTCGCCAGGAGCTTTGCTGTTACCCAATCTAAGCTCCTTCGAGACAAACGGCGCAACAAGGCTATCGCTACAGAAGAGTGAGAGGAAAGGGAACCCCGTTGCTCGGGTCATTCTCCTCCCGCCCATTGACCAATTCCATCCCACGCGCCGCCGCCTCGTTCATAAACAGCCCGTGTTCCCCTTCATCTGTCTCCAAGTCTAGCCTTTTACCATCTTAATCAAACCCAATCCTAATATCTGTCCTCCCTCCGCGCTGTGCGCCTCAATACCAAAGCCTTCAACCACCAGCATACACACATAACACCTCCCACCAAACTGCAAACATCACCAACCTCGCCCACAACACTCCTTCCCCTCAAAACCGCAAAAATGACCCGTCTCCTAACTCCCCTCCTCCTCCTCGCCTCAACAGCAACAGCCCACTTCTCCCTCACCCTCCCCAAACCCCTAGGCGACTCAGACGACAACGAAGCAACCGCCCCCTGCGGCGGCTATACCGCTTCCTCCTCCTCGGCCACAACAGACTTCTACGTCGAAGGCGACGCAATCGGCATGGAAAACGGCCACCCCCAAACAAACTGGCTCTTCCGCGCCACGCTCGACACCACCGCCGCGAGCGGCTGGACACAGCTGTTCCCCATCGTCATGCAGACTGGCCTGGGCAACTTTTGCGAGCCGAAAGTTGTGGCGCCGGGGAACTGGACGGGCAAGAGGGGCGTTGTCAGTGTTGTTGCGCACTCGCCCGACGGGCTTTTGTATACTGTGAGTTCTATATCCATGAGTATCTTCCTACCTACCAAAGAGCGTCACTAACAAACACCCCGCAGTGCGCCGCAGTAAACTTCGTCTCCGGCACAGCTCCAACCCGCTCAGACTGCAAAAACGCAACAGTCACCGTCGATTTCACCTCAGACTCCACCCTCACAGCCCTCCTCAGCGCTAGCGGCTCCTCAAGCGGCGACACCCCATCCTCCGGATCCTCGGGAACCTCGACCCCGTCCGCCTCGGCGTCGAGCACCGCCAACGCCGCGCCCGGTGCCCTGGGTGATACCGTCTTCTCTGCTGGCGCCATGGCTGGTCTTTTGGTGTCGCTTACTGCTGCTGTCGGCGGTGCTGCCATGTTCTTCTAGAGTTCTTTTGAGAAGGCTTTGGTGATTATGGGCGATGATGCTTGGTGTGGAGGAAGTTGGAGTGTACATTAGTCGCAGCACTCTCTATGTGACGAGGTCATCCTGACGGCCTGGCATCTGGCTACAGCTAAATTGATGAAATAAGCACTGGACTTGGACCGCATGTAATCGAGTGCAACGAGACTGGCGCTGAAGACCCGTAAAGCCTCAATTCCAAGTCGATGGCTCAAGAGCAAAGGTGGCATGTGCCCATATGACGACGATGCGGTGCACTGCCGAGAGACTTACCTGAAGTTTGCTACCCAATCACTGCTTACACGAATTCTCCAGTCGACATAAACCTTCATGAGTGTAGTAAGAATAAAAACCGTACTATGTAAGAGGCGTACGGCCTGTCTGATGTATAAACTACACGAAGCGAATCCGTTCGCCAGTAAACCTGCCTCTGTCTATGGGCAATCATGACAAAGAAACCAGAATAGTCCTTTAATCAGGTACTCTACGCTCGTCCCCGAATCCGCCACGGCCCCCGCGCGCCCGCAGCACCCGCGGCGCCGACGCCAAAGTTGTGAAGCCTCTCCCCGATAAGGTAGGCCTCGTCTCTAATACGCGCTTTCCAATTGTTAAAGACGCCGACGATACTCCATAGTGCCATTGCTGCCAGTGCGCTGAACGCACCAGCGGGATAAGAAAGACGATAAACCATCTTGAGTTCGTGTGGTGCAGGTGCAGGTACACCGAGCATGCCGCGTGACTCCATCCAGCCAACGGCATAAGGCGGCCCGAATATCGCCAAACCACCAATGAGCAGACCAGGAACAACAAAAGCCCTCGTCAATACGAGAACGTCGGGCTGGAGCCATCCACGGCGGAGGACGGCGCGGACGGCTTGCGCCATGCGAGTGCCCTCGTACAGGCTGGTGATGGCCCGAGCCCCGAGCTTGACGTAGAGCAAGCCCAGGGTCCAGGATTGTATGACCCTCGCCGTGTGCTGGTTCGACACCGCGATACCGTCTTTGAACTGACCACCATTGTTGGTCCCGACGATGTAAGGCGTCGGTGGATACATGTAAGTGTGGAGAGGAATGAGGCAGTACAATTCCATGAGGGCCGTAAGGATGAGAGGGAAAACGACCAGGAGAATCGTGTACGCGTAAGCAAGCCTGGCAGTATGAATGCCCATGAGGGCAACTCGCATGGGAGCATCGCTCTGCCACACAGACTGTAGATTTGTAAATGCCCACGTCTTCATCTTGTAAAAAATGGAACGGGCATGGAAGAGGAAGTATGCTGCGGAGCCCAGAATGTAGATACCGATGCTGAAAGCGTAAATGTCGTTGGTGCGAATGTGGGCTGGGATGAGGACCTTGAACATCTTGCGACCGAATACTAGTGGCATGATTGTGAAGCTGACGCCTGTGACTGCGGCAAAGATCCAAATGAACATAATGAACAAGAAGACCCTAGCACGGAAGTGCGGCGGAATGTACACCAGCTGGTACTGGTCCGTCGAGTAAAGGTCGCCATCGAGCGCGTCGTCTTTGCCGTCCAGTCGAGAGTTGCCCTCAGAAACCGGCATGAACACGCGTCGTCCCTTGGGGATTTTGACCTGGTCCGAGGCAGGGGTCCGAACAAACTGGCCCTCTTCTAGGAGCTGTCCAGATTCGACAAGGCGTGCTTTCTTCAGGGTGAGGATGACCATCTGGTCGGATGCGATGGCAGAAGATGGCTTCGCGGTGCCACCTTCAAACGTATCCTCCCACGTCTTGGGTATCACCTTGTTTTCTTTGTTAACCTCGAGAAGGGCTCGCCTCCACCAAGGGAGGGCAAGTTGGTCCGAGCCAGGGCGCAGCGCCAGAATGCCCTCTTCATCAATGCGGCGTTCGCCAAAGAGGAACCAAGTCAACCGAAGGCCTCTGGCACACTTGCGGAACCACCAAGTGTACATGGCATGCAAGCCATCGCTAGGCTTGAAGAACTTGACTGCTAGAGGCATAGCAAAGTTGTAGAACAAGAGGTCGACGGGGAACTCCAAGACAGGCTCATTGGAAGAGTAGTGAATCGGCAGAACGCTGGGAAGAGACAGGGCCAGACCCCACACCACACCTCCGAGACAAATGATGACCAGTGCTCCGTATACAAAGGCAGAGAATAGAATCTTGCGCAGTTGCGTCACAACGTTGCGTTCAAGTACATCGCGAACGGGGTGGAACTCGGGGTCGTCTGGATCGCGAATGAAATCTGTAGATGTTTGTTAGTAAGAATAACCAGTGACAGAAACAACACCAACTTACAGAGGACACCTTTCCGCATTATCTTTCGGCACATGGAAACAAAGAGGGCAAAGTGGAACATGTACCCCGTTCCCACGAACCAATGTACAAAGATGGAGGTGAGCGGAAAATTGACGGTGAAGGCGACCCGCGATTTCAAAGTGGTTGCTTCGAAGAGAGGTAGTAGAGCCGCGTCCAAGAGGAGACCACAGTACAGTGGGAAAATGAGCATCTCGATGCTGATGATAAGAATGACCTTCATAACGCCGCTAGCTTGGTTTAGCAAGTCGATTAAGGAAGCTTCCCATTCTTGGCCCGTCTGCCCCGTCGAGAAGGGCGATCCCCGCTTCAGGTAGAGCGCGCTGATTGCTGAAAAGGTGAAGTAACCGCAGAGAATTGCCCAGAATCGATCCGTCCCTGACCAATACGATAGTGCAGGGTTAACGACCGTCGAGGGCTCCGGCACACTGAAGCTGATGACCCATGATCCAGGGTTGAGGATGCTAATGGGAACATCGCGAACGGCGTTCCATGTGTATATGGTTGCGTTCGCTAAGAGTGACGCTGCATACGTGGTGTTGGCTATCAGGTCGCGATCGAAGACGGCGCCAAGTATGTCTCCCACAGCAGCAAAAGATCCCGAGAGATAGGATTTGAAGTCGAGCAGTGCCTCATGGCTGATGGCGGAAAAGTTCTGCATCTCGGTGGTCGAAATAATGGGCAATTCGCTGGTCAGACTCTCGAGGACTCTGCTTGAAGCACTCATGAAGATGTCGAACGTCTTCTTCATGAGCAAGCCAACCCCATTCTTGGCTGGGAAGCCCATCATGCGTCCTGTTGTGTAAATGAAGCACAAGGTTAGACTGGTCAGTCCGCTCATGATGCCAACCGCAACGTCTTGGATGAACTTTGTCGCGCTAAAGAGCATTCGCACAAGGCGCATCGGATTCATGGCAGCCCAGACGCTGACACGTCCCAGGTTGTAAGGAATGAAAACGCACACGAAGATCGTGACGGAGACAAGCACAACGCAGAAGATTGCATTTTGAAAGAGACCAGCAATGGGTCCACGCATGCCGATCAGTTCCATGATGCCCTCGAAATCTTCGGCATCATCGATCGCTTCAGGATCAAGCCCGGCGGCGACGGCAGCTTCAACGACCTCACGGTCTTGCTCAACAGCGTCTTGCTCGTCATCATCCAGATCATCATCAAAGTCGTCGTCGTCGCTGTCATGATCATGATCATGTTCATGAGCGGCATCGTCGTCTCGACCGCCAATGTCTAGCTCTCGCACCTCAATGTCGCCCCACATGAAGTCGGCAACGCGATCCATAACTCCCCGCTGGAGAGGCGGCCGCTGGGCTATTCTACCATCCTCGGCATCCTGAGGCAAGCCGTTGATGTCCTCGAGCGGCTCCTCGGGGATGTCATTGGCTTGAGCTGGCCCGATTATCAGATCAGGCAGTTGCATCTCTGGCTCGTTGAAGCCAAAGAGCCCATCCTCGTGAATCGGCTCAACAGTCTCAAAATCGTGATCCGCATCTGAACCGAAATCTGGGGTATTGCTTCGCGGTGGTGTGAATCGGGCTGGGGGAAGACCGAATTCTTGTCCCTGAGGATCGAAACCAAATGATTGCATTGGCTCCTGCGCCTGAGGTTCGGCTTGCGGTGCAGTATTCAGGCCGGAGAATGACCAGCTATTGTTCGCAAGAGGGTTGATAGTGTTGTTCATCTGAGGGCCATCGGAAACGGAGCGAGGCCGAAGAGGACTCTGGAAGGGAGTCGATCTTGAAGGGCTTGCGCGTTCGTCTCCCAGACCTGTTTCGAAGCCGAAATCTGTCGGCGTTTCCTTCTCCTTGCCCTTTCCTGTCCCATTAATACTACTCTCACCAAGTGGTTGCGGCGGCCATGAGAACTGTGGTGTTGAAGGGGCGGGCAGTTGAACCGAGAATGGAGACGAAGCTTGAGAATCTCCAGAGGCGGAAGGTCCTTCAGGTCCAGGCTGGCTCTTTTTCGACTGGGAAGCACCCGAATCTCGATTCTTTTCCATCATCGATTTGGTGATCCTTGCCCAATAGCCAAGTGGCTCATCCAACTTCTCCTCCTCAATGATTCTGAGGATCTTCTCGGGGTCACCATTGGCCTGTCGGTATATACGGAGGTATTCGTGAACAGTTGCTACAGGGGTCTGCGAGTCCTTGTTGGACCCGCCTTCGGGAGGTGTGTTGAAGTCAAAGTCGGCGTCGGGTCCTCCTTGGGCGCGGGGCCCAAAACTGCCGAGTCTCCTCGTCGGTAAACCTGCCGGCAACAGTGGAGCTGCAAGCTCGGACATTGGTTCTCGTTCGTCCCAAGCCATGTGAGGTAGATCATCCTGGATTCCGCGTCGGCCGCCAGTAAATGATTCATCGTCATCATCCTCGCTGTCACTTGGCCCTCTCAAATTTGCCGCACCGTACTCATCAACCATGCCAGGACCATCATGGGTGTGCGCATGCTCGTGCTCATGATCATGGTCGTGGAAATGCTCCTCATGTTGATGGTGCGGTTCAGGCTGCGGCTGGGCTTGTGCGTTGTCGTTGGCGGCAAAGGCGGCTCGCATGTTGATTTCGGGTTGCTGCTGAACAACGTAGTCGCGAACCAGGATGACAAGAATGAACGAGATGATGACTAGTATCGTGATGATTTGGCCTTCTAGCACGCCGATGATGGTCCGGTTTACGACCGGGTACCGGGTCATGTTGCGCAACCAAGACACGCCGCTCAACAAAGAAGGATGGCGATCGAGAACGGGGTCGCTCGGAGAGAGTACTGAGCTAGAGTTGGCAGAACCAGAGGAAGTGATGGACCCTAGCAACATCCTCATGAGAGCTGCCGTCATCGAGTCGTTGGTGGTAATATTGACGCCGTGGAATGACCGGCTAAAGGGCAGTTCCTGGCCTTGAATAATATCCTTGAGCATTCCTCCCAAATTCGCCGGCGTCGTGGTTGGTTCGAGCAGAGGCGAAGCAGGGCAGACGTTGGAATTGGCAACAGAGAATGCCACCGAGACACCCCGGCTAACTGTTGCGTTTGAGCTGTTCCACAGAGCGCCGCTACCCAGACCCTCGTCGCTGACCCAGAACAGAAACGCCCAAACTGAGCGCATGAGGTAGGGCAGCCAGCAGAGCCATACGCTGATGACCAGTGCGGCTCGCAGCCATACAAGGACGTTTCTGAAGAGGTATTTGGCCATGTGGCCGACAAAGACGTGAGCCGGGAGAGTCTTTGGCATCTTGGGCGAGTAGAGCTTGGTAAAGCGGAAGGGTGTCTTGCACAGCTCGCAGTGCTTCTTCTGGGAGTGTGACAGCCACTCCATCAAGCAGTCTTGGTGAACGTATTTGATACTGCCACTGCATTTGCATGGGTAGAAGAGCGGTTCCTCGGCGGTCGCCTCGCCTCTGCAAATGCGGCATGTGTCGGGGTCGAGCGCGCCGACATCGTTCGCTTGGGATCGTGCCTTAGCAGCATCGTGGGAGACGGAAGCAGGCCTCGAAGCCGAGAAGCGTCGGTGAGGGTGCGCGATGGCATCGGCGGCTGCCAGCGGCTCCATCGCGGGGTCGTCCATATTGTTTCAGTCGTCGTGGTTTGGCGGGGACTAGAGCCCTTTGCAGAAGTATATGCTCTTTAGGAACGCATGAGTGCCTTTCGAAGCAAGGCCGGGCACAGCGAGAACGGATCGACAGTGTGTGTGTATGTGTGGGTATTCGGGGTGGAATAATGGACGATGATGGCGACGGAATCGAGAAGTCCAACGTGAGGTCTTGGTCGAAACTGTGTGCCTAGAAGATTATCTGAGTGAACAGATTGCGGGGGAGCGCGGGCTGCTTCGCAATGCTCAAAGTGACAAAAACGGATGCTACTCCAGCTCCAGACGTCGAGAGACACTGCAGAGAGAAGTAGAAGCTGGGGTGGGTATCATAAAAATCGTCAAGTCAAACAAGCCGCACCAAGACGTGTAGGGTGCGTAGTTGTAAACGCAGTTTCGAGATGGGTAGAAATCAATCGAGGTCCCCTTGCGCTAAGACGGGATGGTTGAGGCACCGAACATTGAAAGTGCTGCGAAGCCCTGTTCTTTCCCGGTTGTTCTGGACTGTGGCACGTTGGCTCCTGCGCGGGTTGAGTTCGCAGCGTCCATTCAGCGGTCTGAGCAGGGGTCCGGCTGCCGCGGAGTGGATCTCAGGGTCCGGAGTTTTGTTTCGTCCGTCCCGAATATCGAAGTGGGTCCATCATCATTAGGTAAGGCAGACACCATCCCAAACTAATCTTCTTGTAGACGTTCGGCACGTGACAGCCGAAGGTTGTGGATGATGAAGCTTCGGCCAACCAGCGCAGCAGAAATTGCACCTGCATAATTATGTCATCGTGCCTTTCAACGTGCTGCACCTCAACATATTCATGATTTCTGTTTGGTGTTTCCCCTTGAGCTAACTTTTGACTTAGAAAAGCATGCTGCCGAGCCAAATTACTATCAGTATTGATTGAAAGATACTTTTGTTACTTAACACCTGCCTACTAGACGAAAGATGCTCTTGGGCACGCCCATCCAGCTTCTGTTAACCACCATCCCAAGTGGCATGTAAAAGAGGCCATGGCTAGGTATCCGGACTGCATACTCGAATCGCCAATAACTGGTTCTCGGCCAAGGGCATCCATCATCATCATCATCATCATCATCACATGGGTTACTCCAGATGCCGGCCATTCGGTTGCGCCTCCGAGCTCCAACATTCCAAGCGGGTGAGCCACACTTGCGTGCCTGGCAATGCAGTGCTGCACTGCTGCGTCACTCCAACGTCTTCTGGTCCACTTGATTGGACCCCTCATCCGTGCTGGCTAGATTGTTTTGGGGGATTGTGGCTAATGACACTCATGTCTACCAATCATCCAGACTCGTCCGTGCCTCCGACAGCAGGGTTGGTCAATCCAGTGTCTTGCTTGTTAATATGCTTTGTGCGGAGAGATTATGAGAAGGCCGACCTAGATAGAGACATGGGATGGTGTGGATGTCGACAGGCATGGAAGCGAGGGATCGAACGGGAGATACCGTAGAAACTCGAGCAACTCGAACTTGCGCTAGCCCGTGCCAGCCCTACTAGCGCTCTAGTAGAATCATAATACTACCTAAAGTAGTTAAATACGGCCGCTACCTATTTTTAGCATAGGTTAATATTTTAATCGATCTAATCAATAAGAGCTCGCCGTTGAGGCCGGACCTATAATTAATATAATTTAATAATTATTTTAGCTTTCTCGTCGGTTTTAAGCTTTTTTTATTAAATTAGTAAAAAGGGTAAAAGTGTTAATTAGAAATAGTCGTACGTAAGTAACCGAGCCCCTAATTATCCCCTAGCTTATTACCTTTAACGGGCCCCTATTTATATAGCGGTTGGATTATTAAGTTGACGAACTGCTTATTAATATTATTACGGACTTTTTTTATTATAAAAATATACTTTAATCCATTATTTAGAATAGTAAAGTCTAGAATCTCCTTTTATAGTATCTTTTATTTAATATAGGCTTTTATATTAAAGAGCTTTTATTTAATGTAATTAATAGTTTTAGTAGGTACGTTTTTAATCCGGATCTTATTAACCTAGCTATTATCGGGCCGAATAGATATTCTGTATTTGTTATGGCTAGCTAGTCGTAGTGAGTATGTTTGTAGAAGTTAAGGCTACGATATTAAGTAAATAGTGTATCGTAGTTATAGATAGCTTCCCTAAAGCTATATCTATAAGTCGTAAGGTAAGTAAGGCTTCGGTGATTAATTATAGTCTTATTAGAAGGGTTCTTAGTAAAGATAGCTGAAAGTGATTATAAGATTTGATATTAAGTTGATTATTAAAGAAGCTATGGAAAGTCTGTTTTTGAGCCCGGCTTAAGTCTATCTTATATATAAGTCTCGTTCCTGAATATATCCTTTATAATACTTTATTTTATTTATTAGTAATTAAGGGTGGATATAAGTGATTACTTATTTAGGGTAATTATAGTAATTACTTTATTGTTTAATTATTTTTTTTATTTATACGTAACTTATTTTATAATTTTTTTGTTCTATAGGGTAATTCCTATATTCCTTAGTCTTATATATATATAGTATACCGTAGCTGCCGTAAGTTTATAGGGTAGGCCCTAGTCTTGGTTATGTATATTAAGTCGTAATATTAGGTCTCTTTTTTAAAGGTCTAGTCCTATAGACCTATAAATAAATCGATAGAGTCCTTTATTTAGTTATTTCGGGCTTCTTAGGAAATGTTTTTATTAAAATGTCTATTAGTTCTTTAACTTATCGTTGCCTTAAACTAGTTTTTGAAATAAAAGAGCGTAGTTTTGAAATTATAATATTTTACTCGTTTTATTGCTTAGTAGGTCGGAAGTGTAAAATATTTAAGGGAAAATCGAAGTATTACGAATATACTTATTATAATCGTTTTTATAATACGTCGGTTAGTACGATTTGTGATCGTGAGTTTTTTTTAAGTAGTAGTATTTTTATTTTATTAATGCGAGTATAATAGATCGTTTTTTAACCGAGGCTAATTATTTAGAACGTAAAGAGGAGATAGAAGAATCTCTTTTTTAAAAATAGGTAGAAGCTTTATATTGGGTATAGGTTAAAATAGACGAATTTTTATCGAAGTTAGATTATTTATAGAAGGTAAAGAAGATAGTTTTTAAAAAGGGTAGGGTGATTCTTAGTCTTTCTAAGGAGGTGGTTTTTTCTAACGAGTCCTTATTAGTACGGGAGGTATAATTTAGTAGTGCTTTTAGTATAATCGATTAGGATGCCGTAATAGTTAGGAGTTTTAGTTTTGATTTTGATTTTAGTATTTTTTAAGAAGTTACCGAGAGTTTTGGAGGTTCGTAATAGGTTCTTATATATTTTTTTTATATTCGTAGTTTTTTTATTTAATTAGGAATTCTCGTGTTTTATTCCTAACCCTATAGTCGATAATTTGTTCGATTTCGTATTTTAGTTCGTTTAGTTCTATAATAATATGGTCTTTTATATATAAACCTTTTAGTGCTGGTTTGAGAAGTGAAATATAAAAGATTAGATAACACTTTATTATGTTTAGGAGTCTTAATTTGTAATTGACGTTTGAGACTTTTTAAATAATTTCGAAAGGTCTAAGTTTTTTATAGTCTAATTTGTTGCTTAGTCGTTTTGTTTTAATGTTATGGCGAAGAAGATAGGCGCTATTTCCCTCTTTTAAAGTTGGTCTTTTAATTTTTAATCTATTTACGTTTTTCTTTATACGTTGGCGTACGAATTCGAGATTTAAAGATGTTTTTTTTTAGATTTTTTTAAGTTTTACTACGTCTATTATTACTTTTATAGCTTATAGTCTTTATCGTACTTCTTTATATATTATTAATTAGAATCCGTAGTTTAGGTAAAATAGAGATTTTTTTATACTTTTGCTAACTATATTATTATATACAAATTAGGCTATTAGTAATAATATTACCTAATTGTTTTAATTATAGTTTATATAATAACGGAGATATATTTCGAGAATCTAATTGATTTTTTCTATTTAACTATTAGTTTATGGGTAAAAAAAGGTTAATAATTTATAATCTATATTAAGTTACGAGATTAGAGATCTTTAAAACTTTAAAATAAATAGAGAGCCTTTATTAAAGACGATTTTTTTCGGTCTATTATAGTTAGTAATAACGTTTTTAAGGAATATATATATTAATTCCTTTATATTATTAGATTCTTTATAGGGTATAAAGTAGGCGAATTTAGTAAGTCGGTCGATTATAATTAAGATACTATCGTATTATATATTCGTAAATGGTTTTTTAGATTTTAGTAATTTGACGATAAAGTCCTATATAATTGATTATTATGTTTCTATAGGTGGTTATAATAATTATAGTTCGTTATAAGGTTTATGCGGGCTATTTTTGCTTTTTTTGTAGATTATATAATCTTTAATTACGTCTATAACTTCAGTATATATAGCGGATTTATTATAGTATTATCGAATCCGTTTCTATATTTTAATAACTCCTTAGTAGCTATATACGGGTATATTATAAATTTCTATAATAAGCTTAAGGGTTATCTTTCCAGTCGGGCTAGTATTAATCTTTCTAGTTAATATAAGAAGCTTCGTAGTTAGTATAAGGTTACCGTTTTTTATTTATTTAAGGATAACTTATATTTCCTCGGGAACTGTAATTTTGTAGTTAGGTCTTTTATTAAGAGCGTCTGCCTTACTATTTTTGAAATTTTTTCAATAAATAATTCGGAAGTTGTATTTTGATAGGAATTTGCTCTATCTAACTTATCGCTTATTTAGGTTCTTATTTATTATGAAGTTTATAAAATTTTTATAGTTTATATAGACTGTAACTTTATATTTAGTTCTAGATAATTATGGCCTCTATTCTTAAAATACTTTGATAATAATTATTAATTCTTTATTATATATTTGCTAGTTTAGTTTTACTTTATAAAATAATTTAGAATAGAAATAGTATAAGTAAAGTTTTCCTTACTCGTCTCGTTATCCTAGGATAGCTTTTATAGTAAAGTCCGAA